TTTGAGTTTTCAATTGCGTTTGCCATGGCCCAAATTGCTGCTGGGCAGAAGCTACCAGTGTCTGGCACTGTTTTCCTCAGCTTAAATGACTTGACAAAGCCCCAGCTTGCCCCAATTGCCCAGGCCTTTTTAGGACTTGGATTCAAACTCATTTCAACTTCTGGAACAGCTCATATCCTTGAATTAGATGGCATACCTGTGGAGCGAGTACTAAAGATGCATGAAGGGCGTCCACATGCTGGAGATATGATTGCTAATGAGCAGATTCAGTTGATGGTGATTACAAGTTCGGGTGATTCGCTTGACCAGATTGATGGAAGAAAGCTGAGGAGGATGGCTCTTGCCTACAAGGTTCCAATAATAACAACTGTTGCTGGAGCTTTGGCTACTGCAGAGGCTATAAGGAGCTTGAAAAGCAGCACTCTCAAGATGGTTGCTCTTCAGGACTTCTTTGACAATAAGAAGGAAACAAGTGATGTAAAGAATTTGCAGTCTGCTTCTTCCTCTCTTTGAATTTAGTAGGCATTTAGGTAAGAATGTGTTTTTTCATTCTCTTCTTGATGCTGCTTATTTGTTTCAATCAGTTTTGTTTTGGACAAGCATTTCCTTTGTTGTTTGTTTTTAGCAATTTTGTGGCTTCTTATATTTTTGTTTCTGGTAGCTGCTGGAACAAGTTGGGCAAGTCGCATGTTGGGATTCCATGTCAATCAAGATATGTAATATAAAAATGTCATAATTTTTAATGCAACCAGCCCCGGTTTTGGCAGTTCAAGAAAGTATTTTTTCACAAACAATGTCACTAATTTGAACTGTAATACTTCCTAACACAGGTTCTACAATCAGAAGCACCAGCTTTTCTGTTGGGGCAAATTGTTTGATGCTCAAATTTAATTACTTGATTCATTAGCCTGTTACTATTAGTGTGTCAACTTTAAAATTGGTAGAAGAGGTTGTATCTCTGATTGTTACATCTATTTGACTCATTAAAACTTATTGGTCAAACCCCAGTTAAAAGAGTGGAATGCATATATTGTTATTTTTGTTCACTTATAAACAAAATTACTTTTCATGTATCTTTGAACTTGCTTTAATTTTATACATAATCTCGGCTTGAACTTGATAGTCAAAGCTTGGTTAGTGGGCTACGTGGATCACATAGTTCATTAGTCTCATTGGTGGAAAAGATAAAGATTGGCTGTAAGAATGCTAATTTCAGGGAATTTTCTAATGTTTACGATTTGTTTGGTTGTGGATACACACGTCTAGATCAAAACTTACCATTTAGAGGATTCAGTGGTTATAGGCTACTAGTGTCTGTTGCTTGTTTATCATCTTACTTAAGTGGTTTTCCCTTTTTGTGAACAGGCATTATAGATTGAGCTACTCTACATGTACCAATGTTGAAGCACATCTAGAACTTGTTTTCTCATATTGAATATAGGATATAATTTAAAAATCGTTGCGAGAATTAGACGCCATGATGTTTGAAATTTAGATGGATGATGGAAGCGTTGTCAATGAGGTCAATCTCTCATCTCTCGCTTAAGCATGTGTAGATGCAAATGTGCTTTTAATTGTCTATTTGTTAATTATTTTTAGTTTTGGAAAATTAATTGGAGGGAGTAGTATTATATGAGAAATGTGTGCCTTGGGATGGCAAAATGAAGTGCTCAACAATGTTGTTCTGCTATTTTGGAACAGGTTACAATTCTGATAATGCATTAAGGTTACTTCTTGGTGATCAACTTCCAAATTATTTGTGCATCAATGTAGCAACCCGAATCTCTCTCTCTCTCTCAATCAATCGGAATCCAACCAAACATATTTGACTCAAACGACCTGATGTTGAGTTTCCGAACTAGTCCTGTTCCAACTGTGTCCGAAACTCTGTTCCAACTGTGTCCAAAACTCTCCTTTTTTTTTCTTTCGTTAAAAAGAAATAATTAGGGGTGGACCTCAGTTAGAGAAACTAGCAACTTCCAACATTTGTGAAAATCCTAATGTAGAATTAAAACACACTTTTCCTTGATTCTTGGAAGTATGAACATCGTACTAGTGATATGGCATGATATCTGCTTTAAGGTGTGGTGGTTGGGAAATAGAACTTTATGAAAGTATGATATACACTTCCTAAGACAAATATTTTTAGGAGCCAAAAGTCAAAATAAGGAATTGGGCCACAACCCCATCTTTTTTAAGGTGTTGAAAATGACATTGGATACCAGTCCCTGTCCGTTGTTTGTTTTTTTTTTTTTTAAATTGAAAATTTCCCCCCTCCTTCAAGTCCGAAGATTACCAAATATTTTGACCACAAAAGATTTGTTTTGGTTTGTTTTGTTTTATTTTATTTTACATTGCAACTGAGTCTTGATAAATTCTGAGACATTTTGGGGTCCCTTTAATGGGAGTGTTCGAAAAGACCTTCATTTTATGAGAAAATTATGATCCATTATTTTCTGTACTGCTTGTTGATATTAGGCATATGAGCTTTTAAAGGAAGGTGTAGATCTTCATGCTTTTTATAGATACTTTTAGTTTATGTTCTTCAAATAATTATTAAGAGAAAGTAATTGTTTTATATATGATAATTGTTGATGGTGCAATTGATTATTGAAAATGATCACTCTGTTATTGGGGTTTGTACTTTTGGGTAAGAAAGTTGATGGAAAATTTGTGATGGAAAAAGGTCTTCACTTCACATCCTTTCTTTGACTCAGTTAACGGTCCTCCGCCGGACTTGTTGACAGTAATTTGGAAGCTCCTTTCTGGAAACACTTCATCGCTTGAATTGTTCAAATTACTTCTCTCTGCAAAATTGTTGAATATGCTGTTCATTTCATGGCTTCTACATGTGCTTTGAATATCAATCAGACATGTTCTATTTGGGAAAGAAAAAAATTCTAGATCTAATATTTTTTTAACTCTCGTTTCTGTCATTACAGGTCAAGCCCAAACCTAACTCAGCTGGCGTATAAGGACTTCTAAGAGACTTAATGTTGACAGTTATTTCATTGATTTAAGGTTAGACAACGACCTCAATGCCTTCATTTCAAACTAATCAATGCGTGTTTTCTCACTATCTATAACTGAGTTGTAGGATTTTAAATTAGTTTTAGCATGATTGGATTGATTGATTGTGATTAAATTAGTTTTGTGAGCAGGCATTGTTAGGATAGACGTTCTCACTTAGAAGCGTGCTTATGAGATAAGCCATGGAGCACTAATGTTAGTTTTCAAGTCAAGTTTTGATGAAAACTTTCAAAGTTCATGGCTGCTCTAAGATTTCAAGATGAACTATGCTCCTTGGTGTTTTTTACCTAACATTTTTAAGACAATTTTCAAATCCAAGCAGTTTAAAACTTATATTTCAAATCTGTGTTCTATTTTACAAAGTCGTGTTTTCAAAATGCGACTGTAACTTCGAAATCTTGTTTGAAAACATAACTTGGGGGTTTTGGGGATTGACTTTTTTTTAATAATTTTTTGATTTTTTATAAAAAAAAATATGTAGAAAATAAAGAGAAAGAGTAGACTTTTTGTAATGATTTTTTTTTTGACTATTTTATTTAGTTGCCAGAAGAGAAATAAGTTAACTAATTTTGTTGGAAGATAACTTGGGTTTATTATTATTATATTATTTTTGAGGTGGGTAGGGGACCATACAAGCTCTAATTTTCCGCTGATTTTTTTTCTATCCCATTTCAAGGGCTTGCCAAAAGTCTCATAAAAAAAATGAAACAATTTAGAGAAAGAAAACTGTAATGACTTCAGAGGTTTATTACACTGGGTATTGTAACGGTCTCAAATGGGAAAAAACTGGTTGGAACTTGGAACAAAGAGTTCTTTTTTAATGGTTCACAACTCAAAACCGTGTGGGCCTTTTTCTAACCCAAAGTCCCACAAAATTGAAACAAGACATGTTGGCCAGGGTCGGACACATTCTAGAAATTTTGACACTTCTCATCCATCCAACGTACATATATATATATATATAAGGGGCTGTTTGGCCTAATGGTAAACAGCAAGACTACATTAGCGAGACTTTTTGAATGGCAAATGAACTACGGTATTTTTAGGCCTTACATTGAACATTAAAATAAGGTCTTAGGTTCTGGGTGTTGTACAATTGGGACTTTTGAAGAAATTTTTTAGTAGACCTTAGACGAAGTGTTAAGTTGCCAGTTCATTTTGGGTTAGGCTTGCTATTTGACGTTACAGTAGAGAATATGTTCGAGTCATAATAATAATCTTTTCAGAAATGGAATAAGATTGCGGGTCTGTTAATTAGAAACAGAAGTTAAAAGTATCAATTTTCTTACTTCTTAATGATCAAATTTAAAAAAAAAAAAAGAACTTATTTAACCTATTTATGTCTTATAAGCTGTAAGTAGAAATTATATCAAATACATTTCACACCCGGATGCAAATTTCTATTAAAAAAAAAAAACAAACAAACAAACAAACAAAAATGCTAAAGTAACCTCATGAGTCGAATCAAACCAAATTACATGCATCTTGCACTTCTTAGACTCGGTTTTTATCGAGAGCCCCGTCATCATTTATAAATATATATTATTGATATATATCCACATACAATTCTCTCTATGAAAAAGTGCAAGGACACGATTCAAACACATTAATTAGGTTTGCAACTTAGGTTCACTTTTGATTAAATGTAAAGAAATTCTTCAGTCAAAGGATGTTTGGTCTTGGTCACTGTCGTACACTTCATGCACTTGCAACCTGGCTTAGCTTCCATACGTTCAGATATTGGTGTTTTCTCTATCCAATATCATGACACCATAACAATTTTAGCCTATTAATAAAATTTAAAAAAAAAAAAAACTTCTGGTCAAGAGACTCAAACCCAGATGGCAATGTTATTATCACTTTAACAACTCATTAATTAGGTCTGCAAGACTCCAACCTACTACCATTCTTCATTCATAAATTTGTTGAGACTTCGCGGAAAATCAACGAAGACAATGACATCTGTTTCACTGTTATTACTGGGTAGGACATTTCAAATGACAAGGTTACATCGATCATCTAGATTTTTATTTTTATTTTTTTTGAGTGCGCTACAATAAATTACACAAGCATGGATTTTTGTCAGCATCGAGTTATAATAATGCCAATTCGCCGTTTAAACATTCAAACATTAACACTAACAATTGTCGTCTTATATGAATCTCCTTCTGCTGTCGTAATTTTGACGATGAAAAATGATATAATGTTGTAAAATAGATCACTTTTAATGATTAATATACTACATTTTGTGTTGCCAAATCGGCCGAGGAGAGTACATTTTAATCTCCTCTAGTACCAATTTTGACAACAAAAAATGATATTATGTTGCTAAAGAGATAACACTTTTGGTGACAATACACTTTATACGTGACCAATTTGCCTAGGAAATTACATTTTTTTTACCAGCTCAGCAAATTTATTAGCATAATTAGCGCTATTTTGCATTAGATGATGCTAACTTACCAACTTAGAAAATCTCAAAATTTGCCTCCTTGACAATGATCCACTTTAAAAGTCACAATAAACAATTGACAATTTTAAATTCACAACTGAAATTACAGATGTGTGAAACAAAATTATTCGACTCAAAGAAAATTTATGTTGTTAATGTGTTGGTTACATCAACAAGAATTAAAAATAAAAAATAAAAAAATCAAGAGCCTTAATTAATAGACTGCCATGTGGCATAGGTCATCTAAATATATGACTTCTGTCAAAGAAAAAATTTGGTAAACATTCATGAAATATAATGATCACAATTAGACACAAAGGGTCAGAGAAACTTTTCGGTGCCAGAAAAAAAAATGTCGTGTGATATATTTTTCTATCGTGATTGGCTTAATAGTAGAATTCATTATATTTGTGTTGCGTATTTGAGAAATAATAGAGAGACATACATATTTAGGATTGATAAAATATATTACATGTGAGGGCCACTTAGTACTATCTTAGCATGCAATAATTTTTCTTTGAGATGACAAGTTTCTTTACTCTTCATTCTAATATGCATTTGGACATTTTAATCTTAGTACGCAATAATTTTTCCTCCAGATGACATGTTTCTTTACTGTTCATTCTAATATGCATTTGCGCTTTATAATTTTAGTGGAGAATGTATATTTAACAAAAATTGTGCACACCAAAACCTATAATATTGTTAATATTTTTTATAAAAAAATTTAAGGGTAGTATTAAATTTTTCAAAAAATGAAAAATCTTAGAAGACCTACTTAGGCAAAGGCTATTTTTTTATTTTTTGGATTAAAATTCACAAAAAGACAAAATATGTTAAAATAGTCAATAAAACAAAAATGTCACATCAAATCCATAACCATTTTATTTTTTCTCTTATAAATATCACATCAAATTACAAAAAAAATCCAACCATCTTTTCAAATACAAAAATTTTAGCCTACTAAAATAACTAAAAACTAAAATAGTCTATTAAAATAGCAACTTCCTAAACATCTACATAATATGAAAATATTTAAACCTAATATCTATATCTATATCTATATCTACTATTAATAAGTAAATGTTGAATTTGGTGTCTAAGTCTTTTTCTCATATTGCGTGATAGCCATTTTTTATCCTAAAAAAAAGTTACAAAAAGAAAGTTAAGATCTTAAGTTTTATTAAAAACTCTCCTACCACTTGAACAACATACATATAATAATATAAATTTTTATTATTTATTTTTATTCTTACTTATTTTAATATGTTAAATTTTTCAAAAAATGAAAAATCTTACTTATTTTAATATGTCATCCACTAACTAATTTAATATAAAGAGTTTTAAAATTTTAAGAGTGATTGCTTCTAGTCGCCTCTTGGTTTTGAAAAATAGGTTAAAAATTAGTTTTTTTTTGTTTTTTATTTTTTATTTTTGAAAAATAATAAAAAAAATAAAAAAGTGATGTGACTCGAAGAGGTTAAAAGTCCAAAAAAATTACTTTTAACCTCTTTCACAAAAGAAACCATATGATGTACTGAGCTTCTTAAATAGTGCAATTAATCTTTTAATAACAAACATAAATTGGTTCAAATTTATAATAAAAAATAAATAAAAAACAAACAAACAAAAATTGACATGATTTAAAATAAAAAAAACTAGATACGTGTTACACTTTTTTTTTTTTTTCCCTTCCATTAACTAGGTCTACACGCAATAGACCTTATAAGAGAGATTACACTAATTTTTTTTTGTGAGATTTAAAAAATTAGTATTACACTTCTACTATTACACTGATTGAAGATGAAAGGTAGAAAATGAAAAAAGAAAGAAAGAAGTAATGATATATATACTTCAATAAAAACTGTAATATGACAAATTTAAGTTTTATTATCAAATCAAAAAACATATCAAAAATAATTTATTATTTTAAAAATCAACGTGACATATTACACTCTATTTGTTTGGACAAAAAATATTTTCTAATAGAAATATTTTTTTACGGTAAACTTTTTTAAAAAATATTTTTCCATGTTTGATGGTGGTGGTGGAATGAAGGTAGAGGTGGAGATGGTGGGGCAGCAACAGATATAATAGTGACAATGATGGTGGCAAAGGTCATGGTGATGGTGGTGGAGGTGAAAGTGGCCGTGGTGATGTAGTGATATTGGTAAGATTTTAATTTGAAAAACGTTTTTCATCTATTAAAAGTAGAAAATATTTTATGCCCATGTATGCATGTTTTCTATAGATTATAGAAATTTTTTCCGTTGACTTTCGTTTTTTATTATATGAAACATCAAAAAATATGAAAAATATTTTTTAGAAATATTTTTTATCCAAACAAACGGAACGTTGTTCTACATAGGTATTATGTATAACATTATGAAAGAACGCGATTTGGGAATGAAGAGATTTCATAATTCCTTTAATTGAAGTGTTCTACAAGAAAAATGTTATACAAGTTAGCAATAAACCTCATAATTTTTTTATTAATTAATGTGTTACATAATAATAAAATTTAAAAAATTAAAAGAGACACAGTTTTTTCATTTTTCTTTTTGTTCTGAACGAGCAGACTCAGTTCGCCATTTGAGTGGAATGATATGTGCCACATCAATAAATAATTTTTTAAAAAAAAAAAATTGTGTAGCATTATTTACCATTATTACAATTAGAGTTTATAGTTGCACGTGCCACACTAGCTGGCCCTAGCCAG